CAGGATCAACTCCAGGGGTGGCGCAGACCAGGTTGATGCAGCTTGGAAGGCCTGGGTGGTTCATCCTCTCCCCCGACCCCTCCCCCAGATGGGTGATCTACAACGACCAGAAAGTGTGTGCCTCTGAGAAGCCGCCCAAGGACCTGGGCTACATCTACTTCTACCAGAGAGTGGCCAGCTAAGAGCCTGCCTGGAGTCCAGACCACTGAGGGCAGAGGACAGACCACCGGGCGTGGGGGGTGGGGCTGAGGGGTGGGCGGCAGCCCCCCTGCTCTGTACCCTTTTTTCTTTTTGCCCCCAGCAGAAGGAAAGAAGCTAGAGGCCCTAGGAGAATGGCCAAGCAAAGCCGTGGGAGACTTTGGGGTTGGAGCTGGAAGGGGATGGGAGGGACCGGCCACCTGTGAGGAGACTATTGCTTTCCTGCCCTTGACCCCACAGCGCTCTGCTTCTCTGTGATCCCGCCGGCCCAGCGTGGAGCGGGCTTGTTTGTGTGTGTGGCGTGGGTGTAGCTTCGTGCAGCCTCTTCCACAGGAGGGGGCGTCTGTGCCTCCCCTCCCTCTTTGTGTGTGCTCCCCGTGTGGTTGGGCACGGAGGGATATAAGGGAAATGGGGACCCCCTTCGCCCTCCTGCCTGTCTTTCCCCCACCCTATCTCTCCCCTGTCCTCTGGAAAATGCCAAAATACAGGATGTGAATAAAGGTACCATGGCTAAGTCGTGTCCCGTCTGATACTTTGGGGGAGGCTGTCCTCCTGGGGTTAGCAGGAGGGCCAGTATCTACAAACACCTGGCCCTGCCCCTCTGCCCCTCCGTGCCCCCTTGGAGGCAGTTCTTGGGAAACTGGGCTGAGTGAAGTGTGCACGGGGGATGAGGGGCAGTCAGATGAGGGGAAGTGAAGTGGGGGTGACAGACCAAAGATGGGTTTAAAGAGCCCTTCCTTCCAGCCGTCGCACGAGAGGGGGCCCAAGTAGGTAATTCCCAAATGTCCTCAGTGGTTAGGGAGCCCCGGGCCCCAGGCCCTGCAGTCCTCCCTCAGGCCTTGGTCAGAGTGGGATACCGGGGTGGGGGGCAGACTTCTCAACTGCCTGTCTTACCTGCAGTTTCTAGCCAACATGGGCCGTCCCCCCACCCCGTGAACCCTGTTACTTGCGCAGTCAGTTACTGTGGGGCTAGGCTGGCCCTGGGATGGTCAGAGGTGCCTGCTCAGCAGTCAGGGACGTCGCTGCTCCGATGGGGGAAGGGGGTTCCTTTTCCCGGAGTTGGAAGGATGCCCTCAGGGCTCTGAGGCCAAGTCTGGAAGTGGAGTGGTCGGGCTGGCAGCCAGCGCACAGTTCTCGCCTCCCCAAAGTCAAGCAACTGAGTCTGAAGCGACTGAGCCTGACTCCCCTGGAACGTCGCTACAAGAAAGGGGGTAACGTCAGAACCTCGCAACGCCGGCGGCG